AAGTGTGGTCTAATGAAAGCTACCTGACCTTTTGCTTTCTGAAGGAGAGCTGGAGAAAATGACACATCCTTAATGGTGTCATTCTCCAACGTTGGAGGACTGTCATGAAACAAGTCAGTAAACTGTCCTATATATATTTGCCTGTTAAGACTTACTCAGTGCTGGATAGATCAATACTCTTCTGACCTAGTCCAGTGGAAATATAATATGAACCACATAGTGAGTTTAAAATTTCCTAGTGACTGCATTAAAAAAGTAGAAATTGATGAATGAAATTAGTTGGCTCCATGTATCTAGGTTATTATCACTTCAAAATGTAATCAGTTTGAAAATTATTGAGATACTTTTCATTCTTTTTTTAAAACCAACTCTTTGAGAAGTTGTTTATACTTTCATGCTTTTCACTTAACAACACATCTCTTTGACACTACATTTTCATTGGAAATACTTGGTGTGTAGTAGATTTTATAAAACTTAGAAGAACTGACTCACATACTCAAGTTGTTTTAAATGTTCTTAAAGGTTTTCTAATAACTGAAAGTATTAGAAAGTATTTCTAATCACTGAAAGTGAAAGTAAATAGGCTTAGTTCCTCCTTGCTCATGTTCCAAGTATGTAGGAACTGTGGCTCATGGCTCCCTGCTAGGACAGCACAGCTCCAGACATGGGCTTGTTTTGCAGGACCTGTCCAGGTTAAAGTCGCTAGTGAGTAAGACATTGTTTCTCCTGCAGGATACCCTTGAGGTAACATGTCAGAGTATAGTCCAGGAGTGCTAGTTGTGATCTTCTGCTTCTGGCAAGACCCCTTATTATTCATTTTTTAAAACGCAAATTGAAAGGCTATTCTATTTCCTAATAAAAAATAAAACTATTCTTACTCTTTCTGGAATGTTTGAAATATTAACATTTTGGTTCAGGGTATGTGTGTTTTACCCTAATATTAAACTCAAGTTTTAAAACTTAAAATTGAACTTAAGGCAAATGATACTAAGCAAAATGGGCTGATATTACAATATAATGGAGAAAGTCAAAATTGGAAACCCTGATGTAAACACGAGAGTCCAGATGACCCTGAATGAACTCCATAGGGAATTTCAGCTACTTCTGTTCTTCCTGCACCCTTGGTGGTGTGCCACACAGCAGATGGTGATGGTGGTAAATGAGAGGTGCAGGAAGAGCAGCTGAAGCTGTACCTAAAGGGGTGTGGAAGGTGAGACTGGGCATTCTGTTGGTAGCAAAGAAGAGTCCCAACCTTGGAGTACATGGACAGGAGTTAACCTGCCCAAGCCTGCCCAAGTGCAAAATGAGACAGGGGTCAAAGTACAAGCGTGAAGGGGATTGTGCTGCTTTTCCAAGCCCAGTGTATACTGCGGACACACTGGGCCCACGGCCCTGCACCTTTTGTAGCAAGCCGCAGAAACAGCAGTCTCCCTCCATGTTGCCTTGACCTGCTTAGTTGCCTGCCTGAGCAGCTGCAGAAATGGCTTAGTTACTAATTCTTTCACCTAGATGTTCTTTTGAGATCCTGTTGTATCTTACAGTGGTCTTTGACCCACTTGTCACCCTGTGGTTAATGAGCTCTGGAATTGGCCTGTTACCAGGCTAATGCATTGCATTGAGACTTTTTTTTTTTTTTTTTTTTTAATTAACTGAGTGGGATCCTGCTGTTTTGGGGCCTTTTTTGCTAAGGGAGTAGAGATTATGATTCTTACTTTATTTTAAATTATTCAACATACTCAGAGTTTTGGTGGTACTGGGGTTTGAACTCAGGGTCTTGTGATTGCTAGGCAGACACTCGCTCTACTGCTTGAGCCACTCCTCTAGCCCTTTTTGCTTTAGTTATTTTTCAGGTAGAGTCTCACATTTTTGCCTGGAGCTGATCTCAGACATTGATACTCTGAGTAGTTGTGATTATATCTATGAGTCACCAAAGTTCTTAAATTACAATATTGAGGGCTGGAGGTGTGGCTCAAGGGGTAGAGAACTGGCTTAGCAAATGGGCAGCCCTGAGTTCCAGCTGGTTAAGCCTTCCTCTCTTACTATGAGTGTCACTTCTTACTCCAAAAATGAGAATTCTAGTGTCTTCATTGTCTATAATATGCTTTTTTACAAAGAAGTAAATAAGTTAGCAGTTTTTGCTAACAGGATTTATGGTATTTAGGTTCTCACTGTTAGGAAAATGCCGCACACAAAGGAGACTCACGAGAGTTATCTCATGTCCAAAAGTTTAATAAGCAGGCTGGCTGGCCGAGAGAAAAAGGCACAGCAGCTTCTCTCAGCTGGTCTGGTCTTAAGTAGCATTTGGAAGAAGGCAAGGGCTAGGGATGGTCTTTGATCTGCAAAGGAAGAGACCAGCTGCAGGAGCAAGGTCTAGGGGCAGGCAAAGGAAGGTGGCGGGAGATAGGGACAGTGAGTTTTGATCAGCAAAGGATGAGACCAGCTGCTAAAGCAAGGTCTAGGGATGGGAAAAGGAAGGAAGGTGGAAGATAAGGAATGGTGGGCTTTGTTTTGCAAGGAGTGAAACCAGCTGTGGCTTAGGCTGCAGAAGAGGCAGTTCCCATCACTCACTGCCCTCATTTTTACAGCATCCAGTCCAGTAATGCTTTCCAGTTACTGAGGCTGGTCATTTTTCTCTGCCTTTTCACCAAGACTTTGTTCAGTTGTAATCCCAGTAGGTTTATGTGTTAGTGAATGTGTTCTGCATTGGGTTCCCCATATCCTGGTTGGTTTGAATTATTGTTTAGTTTTCAGTTGTGTGAAAGGTATGTGAAGCATTACTGAGGCTATAAGAATCAGATACAGAAAGCTGTGCTCAGGGGTGGGCCAGGCTCCTCCACCCTGCTCCCCGCTTCCCTGCTCTCCCCATAAGTAGTCATTCTCATGTCTGGCTTACTCTTCGTGTGTTTCTTTTGTTTTACACCGTTTAAGCTCATCAGGTTTTTGTTTCTTACTTATTTTTTTTGTCAGCACTGGAGTTTGAACTCAGGACCTCACACTTGCTAGGCAGGCACTCTACCTACTTGAGCCATACCTATAGCCCTATTTTGTGTTGGGTATTTTTGAGATAGGGTCTCTCAAACTATTTGTTGGGGCTGGCTTCAAACCTTGATCCTCCTTATCACTGCCTCCTGAGTAGTTAGGATTACAGGCATGAGCCACCCTGCCCAACAGCTCATCAGCTTTGTATTAAAGATTGTCCATCCTAGGGCCATGGTTGAACTAGAAATTCCATGAGTTAGCACCTTCATATTTTTGTACTTAGCATTTGGATATAACTTACGAATATTTAAAGTTTTACTGCTTTATCGAACATCTGCTAATAAAGCAGGTGGGATAGAACACCAAACACTTCCTATACTATCTTTTTATCCTCCTTTAACACTAAGCACTTTGTGTGTGTGTGTGTGTGTATGAGGCTGAAACTCATGGCCTACATCCTGAGTCACTCTACCAGCACCCCCTCCTCCTTTTTTTTTGATGGGTGTTTTCAAGATAGAGTCTCACAGAACTGTTTGCCTGGGCTGGCCTCAAACCTCGATCCTCCTGGTCTTCGCTTCCTGAGTCACTAGGATTATAGGTATGAGCCACCGGCATCTGGCAGCACTTCATTTTTATGATGATACAAATATTACGTTATATACTCTATGACAAAAATGAAAGCTTCACACACAAGTATAAAGTCCTCTTTGATCTCTGTCCCCCAACACCAGACCAGTTTTATTATGCTTTCAGATTCCTTTTGTTTTATTCTGTTTTTGCTTTGAGATGGGATCTTGCTGAGTCGTGAGGCTGGCTCCTGGGCTCAAGTGACCCCTCAGCCTCCTGAGTAGCTGGAGTACAGGTGTGTGCCACTGCACCCCCTTTCAGTCTGTACATTTCTACATATTGGTGCCATAGGAGGAAAATACTGCTTTCCAAGTGTGAGACTTTTTTTAACCTAGAAGTTGTGCTAGATCTTCTTATGTGGCTTTTTGTCTTGCTTGAGTCTTGCAGATCTACTCATGCTGTCCAGACAGCTTGTCTTGTCCTTCTTAACATCTGCAGGGGGTCTGATGCAGACGCCTTGCCTGTAACTCATAGGGCACAGATGAGGGATTGCTGGCGTGTGCCATTTGCCTATTCTTCCAGCGTTGTATCAAGCACTCATGGCTCTGTTGGTCACCAGTACTTGGTATGTCCTGTGTCTTAAATTTTGGACAGTTTGATGGTGGAAATGGTATTTTGTTTGAATTTGCTTCCCTCTGAGAGACTGAAGTTGAATGCATTTCCATACATTTGTTAGCCGTGTGTATTTCCTTTTCTGTGGTTTGCCTGTTTTAAACATTTTCTTTTTCTTACTGATTTGTGTAAGTATAGATTCATTCACTTAACAAACATTTTATTGGTCTCTTACTGTATGCCCCAGGCTTTGTTGGAGGTGCTGGGATACCAGCAAGAAACAAGGTCTCTCATTTCATGGAACTTAACATTTGGAAGAGGAAGTTAGACCTAGGAAACCCTAGATAAATGAATAAGGTTGTGTAGATATTAATAAGTGCTGTCACAGTGGGGTAGTGGAAAAGAGAGTGCTTGCGTAGGGAGGGAGCCCCAGTTTTCTCCTACAGGCTCCTCCCTGGGTGTTTGCATTTAGGCGGGTGGTCAGGAAGGGTGGGAGCTGAGATAAGTGATGAGGAGTTGGCTATGTCCAGACAGAGTCAGTCACATGTGCTTTGACCCTGAGGTATGCCTGGTGTTCAAGGAGGTAGGGTGGCAAAGGAGACAGATAGGTCAGACTCCTCAGCCCAAATGCTGGTGAGTGAGTTATTCTCTGCAGTCGACTAGGTGCTTGAAGGGCCGCATCTGTTTCAGAGGAGGGTTTCTGTACCTGCCCCTTCCCTGGCTAGGCTGGCTTATCACAAAGCCTCGCTCTAGGGATTCGTGCAGCAGAACTGGATCATTGGGTTTGTGGTTGTTTCAAGGCCTAGGCCTTCTCTTTAATAAAGGAAAATTTTCTGTTTCAGATTACCTAGGAACAGTACGATTTGGGGTTATCACAAATAAACATCTTGCGAAACTGGTATCCTTAGTACACTCTGGAAGTGTGTATTTACATAGACATTTCAACACATCACTTGTAAGTATTTTGAAATTGCGTTTGTATTAGTGCAGTGGTTCCTAACGTTGTGCAGGTCACAGACTCCTTTGAGAATTAAATGAAGTGTGGACACTTTCCCTAGGAAAGTACACGTAATTTTATGTGCAGATTGGGAGTTCCTGTCTGCCTCTTCTGGAGCCCGTATGCATTAGAGGACTCTTGACTGTAACACCTAGAAGTTCCTTATATTCTTAGATTGCAGAACAGCCTTGCTACTATTCCTTCTTGGAGGACTTGCAGTCACTCAGCTGGAGAGTTGTTACTCTGGGCCCTATTCTCAGAAGTTAAGCTTCCATTGGATGATGTTTTGTTCATTTGTTCCTTTTATGAAGAGTAGTAATGTGATACGTTTTTTTCCTTTTGAAGTTCTTGTCAAGTCACAGTGACAAGTTGATGGCCCGCCTCCAGAGACCCTCAGTTCTCCATTGTCTCCTTTGTTCCCTCATTTCCTTTGCTTTTTGGTGACACACAGCTCCCCCTCAGCTGCTTCTGAACTTTGACCTGTGTCCTGTGCAGTTGTCCTAGGCTTCTCCACTATTGATTGCTATGCTCTTAGTCCCAACACTGAGAGGTTATTTTTCTGAAGTGTTTCATGTATCTCTCACATCTTCAGTGGTGTCACTGGCTTAGAGGTCATATGAGACTGATGTCCCGTGCTCAGTGTGCTGGCCCTTTCAAACCTGGGGCCCCTGGCTCAGTGTGCAAGTCCTGTGCCTTCCCAGGAACCATCAGGCATTAGGTGTTTCTTACCAATCACCCTAGCTCCTGCATATCTCTGGTGGCCCAGATGTGCTTTATACCTCTTGCCACTTTCGTAAGGCCAATGTATTTTTGTGTTTTCCAAATATACAGTGTTTATATGATGTTTATGATGATGTTTGGGTGTGGATTCAAACTCCCATTGTCCCTTGTGAGCAACACTCCGCCAACCACTCTCCTGTGCCTGTGAGCTGCTTTTAACTTCTTCTGCTCTGCTAGCTGTCATTTTCCTATATGCTTCGTTTTTAGCCTGCATTTGTTATTTATAATAAAGGATATGATGGAGAAAAAAGGTAGAATTAGGAGGTGACAGTGAAAAATAGGTCAAACTTACTATTTCAGTTGGGTGGCTTCAGTTGTTTTAGCAGTAGAATCCCTTTCTCAGATGAAATATCGGGATAGTATTTAAAAAAGGAAAAGCAGTAGACATCTTCTGTATGAGGGAATTGCAATCTCCATTTAGGGAGGTGTCAAATGTCTCATTTTGTGAAACCTGTAGCACCTCTTTGGAAATTCCATTTGAAACTACTGATTTATGTTATTGGACTTTGAAAATCAGTCTTGTATTTGCCTACATTGGTTGTTATAGAAAAGCAAAGCGTAACTGCAAAATGTCTCTCTTCCTTTCATCTGTATACACAAAATGTGACCTGAGCCTTGGGCAAGTTAGGTCATTCACTGATTCATTCAAATATCTGTTGAGTCCCTTCCCTGTGTCAGGTGTTCCAACAGTCACTGGGTGTCTGTGATCAAAAGCAGATGTGGCCTCTGTCTCATGGCCACTGTGTTCCTGTTCCTGGGGCAGTGTTTGATGGGCCAAGGTAAAAGTCTGCCCCATCTTTGACTTCACAGTTCCGGTTCCTGTAGCTGTGCCTTGGTCCTTTTATTAATCCCCAGTGCCAGTCATTGCTTTCCTTGGACTAAGTGACAGCTCCTTAAGACCACCAGCAGGTGGATGGGATCGGTGAGTCTGTCCAGAAGGAAGAAGGTGAATCTGGTGATAGGCAGGTCACTTCCTGCTCCCACTGAGGCTTTCTCACCCTTGTGAGGATGTGCCATGTGGAAAAGCAGGCTGAGCATTGGCTTTCCAGAGGCAGTCACGGCTCTGGCTCTGTTTCATCCTGTGCCTCGACAGGGTGGTACTGCTGCTTTGTCCTGTCCTGCCTTGCTCAGCTCCCCTTTCTCCTCTGTGCTTTTGTCCTTCACAGGTCTTCCCTCGAGAGATCACGAACTTCACAGCCGAGAACATTTACAAGTGGGCCTTGGAAAACCAGGAATTGCTCTTCCGATGGCTGCGGCCCCATGGGGGCAAGAGTCTGCTGCTGAATAATGAGCTGAAGAAGGGACCTGCGCTGTTCCTGTTCATACCTTTTGACCCCTTAGCCGAAAGGCACCCTCTTATAGATGAGGTGAGTCGCTGGGGCCATGCTTCCCTTGAGAACAGGAAAGCCTCACTGACTTGGACTGCTGTCCTTTAACGTTTAAGGGTGCTAAGGTAGCCCACAGGGGCCACCAGGAATGGCAGCTGCAGTCCCATGGCATTGCTCCTTTCTCCTCCAAGGTCTAAGAGGGCCTAGACCTAGGACAGGGGCCACCCCTCAGCCCCTCTGGACATGTTTATTGACAGCTGCTCAGGTTTGGGGTGAGTAGGAGGGAAGGGAAATGAAACCAGGCCTCCCTAGAAAAAAAGAGCAAGTAGTCCTCTTCCTGAGGCAGCTGAGGCAGAGCTTCCCTTTTGGTATTGGGAACACAGTAGAGGTTGGGTGGCTTCTGAGCTACCCCGTTGTTAGTTGGTGGCCAGACTGCTGGCCCTGATTGTCCTCAGGACAGCAGAAAAGAGATACGTAGCCCTGTAGTCAGGAGCTGCAGCAGTGACGTTGAAACACATTGTTTTTCTAACCCTTTCCTATCATGCAGATAGCCAGGGTAGTTTCCAGATCCAGCCTTTACCAGTTAGCCTGCCTTGCCCTACTCCTGCCTTTCCTAATTGCTGGGGCATTCACTCTCGGGTATGAGGTTATTTTATACATAGCTCCTTGGAGGCACTTAGAGAGCAATAACGATCAGCACAGAGAGCCTGGAATCGCTAAATTGGATTTACAGGGTTTCATTTTTCCTTTCCCTCAAGGATCTCTTAATTAGCCCAAACCAGTTTCTGACAGGCAGTGTAGCACAGCCCAGCCCAGGCAGGCTGACTGTCTGAGCCCCTCAGCGCCGCCTGGAGGGCCGGGCAGGACTTCTTACCAGCCAGACTGCACTATGTTAAAGTTATCCCTGCTGGGAGCCTTCTGGACAGATGCCGCTGATGTCCTGGCTTAGAGGAAGAGAGGAGAGAGACAGTAGTTCTGTTCTTTCCCCCTTGGTTAGGGAAGAGTAAAGCTTCGCTTCTTTAGAAGACCTGTTCTCTGCAAGTACTTCATGAACCAAGAGCTCTTTCCCATGCTGGGCCACACTGTACAACGTGAAGAGCCCTTCCGGGCTGTGCAGGAAAGACAGGGTTTCAACCAAGGTGGTGATTGTGGTTGTGGATTTTTACTTTAGACTTCTTCAACTTCCTTCTGGAGAGTTCTCTTGACCACTTTGGGCATGAGGTGGTATTTTGTAGCGAGAGCCCAGATCTTCTCTCTAGAGGGCTGTGGTTAGATTAGGCTTCTGGTGGGAGTCCCCTTGCTTTCCAGTCCACATCTCCCATCTCCTACACTTACCCATTGGTCTTCCTTTTGTCACAGTTTGCCTGTGACTCCTTTCCTTGGGCTCCTGGAGTTCTGTGAGGTAGATAAATTCCTTTAACCTCAGCGGATGGTGGAGATGGCTGAAAAAGCAGGTGACCCTTCCCAGTGTTGTGAATTCCTTAGGTGAGCAGTGTGTCTGTCCTGTGCAGTCCCTCTTTGTTTTGGGTCAGTGTGGCCTAGACTTGCTGAGTACTGCTGGGAGTATGGAGGAGGGGTGTGCATGTGAGTCTTGGTCCTTTAGGCTCAGAGGCTCATCCAAAAGGGACCTGCTCATAACTCAAGCAGAGGACTATTGGTCCCAGGCGCATACCCTGGCAGGTTCCAGAGGATTCAGGGGGAGGCCTTGCACTGGAAAGCTGAGGGCTGAGGAGAGGCTCTGAGGGAGAGTGTTTGAGGTGAACTTTAGGGGTAGCCAGGGTTTTGATGGGTTGAGGGAGACTAAGGAAAGAAGAGTCTGGACAGAGGCATGGGGGTGGGAAGTTGCCACAGGTTCCAGTGTTGGGAGAGTCTAAGCTCTGTGGTATACAGGATGGGCTGATGGTGGGGGAGCCTCAAAGAAACTTTGGAGGGGAGGCCTGGGGTACTTCTCTGAGGAGTCAGGATTAACTACAGCTGTAGATAATGTTCTATGATCAGAAAGTTTTCCTGGCAGCAGGGTTCCTGAAAAGTAAGTAGACGAATCTGAACTGGAGTGGTAGAGGTGGGGGTGGGAAGCAGTGTCTGTGATGAGGGCAGTAACAGTAGTAACCAGAGGTGAAGAAGTCATCAGATACCTGGGGGAGGTGGGAGGAAGAGCATCACCCTTACATGAGGTGAGTTATAAGTTATGAATTCATGGCAGACCAGGTGACGGTGGCTCTCGCCTGTAATCCTAGCTACTCAGGAGGCAGAGATTAGGAGGACTGTGGTTTAAAGCCAGCCCTGTCTCAAAAATACTCAACACATAAAATAAAGGACTGGCAGAGTGGCTCAAGTGTTAGAGTGCCTACTTAGCAAGCATGAAGCCCTAAGTTCAAACCCCAATTTAAAAAAAAAATGAATTCAAGGCAGCTTTATTTTTCCATTACACTTTGGTGGGCATAGTTTGGGACAGAAAGTTGAAGAAGCTTCCATTGTTAAGAAGAGGGACATGCCAGGCAAGTGTGTTTGTAACATTTGTGGTGGCCACGTGTAGAATGTCGGTTAGAAGGGACCAACTAGTGGCTGTAACAAGCCCAGGATGGGCTGGTGTAATGCACACAGAAAAGCACAGGTCCTGACACCAGTGTCGGGCACTGAGTCCTTAGAGAATCATAGAGGGGTTAGAAGACGTCAGTGCATGTGATGCAGCACATCAGTCAGAGGAGATAGATCCTGTGTTGGCAGGAGTGCTTGGACTGGTTTTCCACTCAGCAGTCTTTGAGGCATTCATTGTGAGTCTGGAAAGCAGAGGCTTGGTTATCGCATTCAGATTTCAGATTCAGATTCTCTGATGACAAGATGTAGCAGGCTATGGCACAAACTTTTAAAGGTATTTGACAAGTTCTCCTAATAGTTCACATGAATTAAATAGGACAGTGTGTTTTCAACCCTGCCCTGTTGAGCAGGGAGCAAAAAATGTGAAAACCAGCTTGGTTCATAGTTGAAGACCATTCTTGTATGGAGTCTTTCTTTGTGGCTGCTGTGTGAGAGATACTAAGAATGAAAGATGAGGAAAGACGTTTTCTAGAAGTTTTAGGGGGTTTTTTGGAGGGAGTAGTTATCATTTGTCTTTGTCGCTGAGTATAAAGCCTTTCCAGGATGGACAGAAGGCAGTGACCCTGTCGATCATATGGGCTTTCAGAACCTTGCCAATGAGCTGGTGGAGTGACTCAAGCAGTAAGAGTGCCTGCCTAGCAGAACTCTTGTCCAAAAAAGGATGGAGATGGTTCTGTGTGGGAAAAGAAAGCAATTTAAAACACTGTTGTAAAGGGCTAAAGTGACATTTTATGACAAGAACTATTCAGACAGTTTTTCTGTGCAAATACATACATTTTGAGTTAACTCTATAAATATTGTTACGAAACAATATTTTTTTTCTAAGTTGGAAATGTACTCATTAAATGGTTTTGTGCACACATACTCTGTTTTTTTTTTTTGAGGCAGAGTCTTGCCTAGGCCATTCTCCTACCTCAGCCTCCCAAATGCATGTGCCACCGTGCACAACTCTCATACGCTCTTTAATGAAACAGTCCTGCATAACTCATCACCAGTTAGGTAACTGCAATGAGATTGCATTCTAGTTAGCACACCATTCTTTTGCAGAGAGTAAATGCCTTTGGATCATAACTTGCTCATCTTTCTTGTGGAAGTAGAGTTGGGGACAGGGGTGGGGAGTAAAGATGCTATTTGGAAATGGAAGCATCTTGGAAAGGGTGCTCCTGGCTAAATTGGTTAATCTCACAATTCTTTTCTGGTTGTTTGACAACCTGGACACACGTCCTTGGCTGAGCTGCTTTACCTCGCTGGACTTTGTTCTTTTCCTGTGGTGGGTGGACAACTCTAAAACCCATTTGTTTCAAAACAATTGGTTCATTAGTATATTGACATGTTGGGACCAATAAAGTAGTCCCCTTTGCTAGTAGCCTTTGTGGTGGCCGAGCCACTACTGGTGCCTTACTAGCACTGCCCTGTCTTTCAGATCACCGAAGTGGCCTTGGAGTACAACAACTGTCATGGGGACCAGGTGGTAGAGCGCCTTCTTCAGCATCTGCGGCGGGTGGATGCACCCGGCTTCCAGACCCTGGCACCAGAGCTGCCAGCCTCGCTGTCAGACGTACCACTGAGGACAGCATCCCGCTGCTGTAACACCGTGGTGCTGCCCCAGGGGCACGCCTTCTCCAGGACCCACAATGTCTGTGAGCTGTGTGTCAACCAGACTGCCGGGGGCACCAAGCCGAGCTCAGTCAGTGTGTCACAGTGCAGCTTCTTCGAGATGGCGGCGGCTCTGGATTCTTTCTACCTCAAGGAGCAGGCCTTCTATCATGTAACGTCAGGCAGCATGGAGTGCAGCAACTTTTTAACTTCCTACAGCCCTTTCAGCTACTACTCTGCGTGTTGCAGGACCATGAGCCAGGGCTCAGCAGGCCTTACTGGCTCTCAGCAAGATGTCTTTGAAACCCCGGCCATTGCCTTCTCTTCCCTGGAGAGCAAATGTGAGGCTGCTACCCCCAGCTCTGTTCCTCACATTGAGGAGAGCAGGTATCTCTTTCCTGAAGCGGGCCTCACGCGCACAACCTTCACAGGCCTGAGCTGCAGAACCAACAAGACCGTGAACATCTACCTTTTGGATTCCAATTTATTTTGGTTATATGCAGAGAGACTGGGTGCACCAAGCTCCACGCCCGTGAAAGAATTTGCCACAATTGTTGATGTGAAGGAAGAATCCCACTATATCTTGGATCCAAAGCAGGCCCTCATGAAGCTCACCCTAGGTACTATACTGCAGGCATTCGCTTTCCCCACAGAACAGCTTGCATTGAGGGATCTCATTATGCTTGCTTGTAGGGTGATGTCAGCTCTGCAGCTCATTTTAGGTCTTTGGACAGTTAATCCTAAATTAGCTTTATCTATTGGTCATCATTTTAAAAGAAGCCACTTTTGTCTATTAAATGGAGCAGAGACTTCCTCACTCTAGGTTTGTCAGTTAGGCTGTGCAAGGGAAGAGTTAAACTTTCTAGATTGACAGCTTGCCACATTTCCTAAGCAGAGGCAGTTGTGGTCAGTACTACCTGGTTACTGTGCTAGGCAAGGAGGTGAGAGCCATCCTGGGGGACGCCCAGGGGCTGATGAATGTGGCCATCAACTCTAAAGAATTATAACCACGAGACAGGGAGAAGTGACAAGAGTTTTGCCTCCCTTTTGTCTCATAGTTTTGACTGTAGAGCATCAAGGCCACCAGGCCTGATTTGTCAGCTGCAGCTTTATAGCACTTGGTGACCTTGGGTGCCTAGATTACAACAGTGTCAAGTACAGTAAACATGACAATTGCAAACCAGCAAAACCACTTTTGGGGGTTGAGGCCGCACTATGGGAAAGCACCCCGAGCTTTCCCCTGGCTGCTTAGCAGCAGTAGCCAATAGCAACAGCAGCAGTCCTGTTCTCAGGACTTTGGTGAAGTCCTGCTGGACACTCAGGAAGTGAGAATTCAAATCCTTGTTAGTTCAGCCTCATCAGAAACTCGCAGAGGTGGTGTTTGTCAAATGGAGCATGGAGGAATTGGTAGGGAAGAAATTATTTTCAAGTTTAGAGCATGAAAGCAAGAGCAGCCTCAGTATCCTAAATACTAGTCTGCTGTCCTCTTCACAGTCCAGGTGAAAGGACTCAAGTAAACGATGGGCTCTTTATACAAAATTACATCTTATAATCATAAAAGCTCCTCAGTGCTTAAAGGAACCCTTGTGTGTCCAGTCACTTTGTGGAGGATATGACCTTTTGATATTACAAATTATGCCCAGCTCATACTTTCTAAGAGTATTTTGGTGTATTGACTTTTCTTCGTTTTTTAACTCCCACTCCGTGTCTCCCCATTCACAATACAGACCATCCGCAGGGTTAGGCTGAGGTGCGTATGAGGTAGTCAGGGTAAGAACACAGCCTGTGGGAAGCACCAGGAGGCCTGGGTTTTCTTAAAATAAAACAAGTGTGCGGTTTTTTGTTGTTGTTGTTGTTGTTTTTAAAAGAAAGTTGTTATTGGATTTTCCTGAATTCTGTTCTGTAGTACTTAAAACTTTGATGAGTTCATAATATGTTCACTTTGGATTAACGACTGTCTGAATGAAACTTGCAGGGTTTTTTTTTTTGTGGTTTTTTTTTTTTTTTTTTTTTTAAGCAGTAATGGTGTTTGAACTTGGCCTCATGCTTGCTAGGCAGGTGCTCTTCCACTTGAGCCACTCCACCAGTTCCCTTCTTCAGGTTTTGTTCCATTTTGTTACCCAAACTGAATTGTTTGGCTCAACTGTTCTTTGTCCTGTAGCTGGTGACAGTTTTTAGGGGTCCTTGTGAAACAAGCCATGTTGGCTTAGAGAGTTAACTCATTAGTCAGCTATCTGTAGGGCATCTGCAGAATTCACACTTCATTCAGATTAGGAAATAATTCTGTGTTACGTTCCAAAAACATAGCCAAGCGAGTGTTACTCAAACACACTAGTGAAGTCTCTTTAGTATTCACATGATGTTCTTCACCTCCTCCTTCCTCCCTCTGTGGAGCATGGCATTGTCCATTAGGACCTCAGAATGGATGGCGGGAAGGAGGAAGAGGGAGGGAGGAGGAGGGGACGGGGACGGGTGGAGAGGGGAGGGATTGAGAGAGAAGTGAAACTTCAGAGTGATGTGCTGAGGCAGAGGACCAAGTTGATGGTGTTGGGGGTAGGGTAAAACTGTTGGTTTGAGTTAGAGGTTGGTTTGAGTTGATTATTTATGAGTTTTATTTGTGTTTTTTTTCCACTACCTATCATTGGGTTTATTTTTGTTAACCTTTTTAAAAAGAAGCTGGAAGAACTTTTAACTCTTATTTCCTTGTCTTCAAATTAATGAGAATTGAGCGTCCTGTGATTGTAGCCTGTGGAGTTAGTGCATTTCTAGCAATGCTTGTCGTTCTTAGTGTTTATTGTAAGTTGAAATCTCTTGAGAACAGTGTGGCATATTAATGGCGTGTGCTTTCTTACTTGGTATGCTTGTGGACCCGTCCTTTTAGAAAAGAACAAGATAGAATTCCTACTCCTTGAGTACTAGGTCGTCTAGTGCTGCATGGTATTTTGAGACCTAAGGGACCATCCTCCAAGTTAATCCTACCAAAGCTGAGGTGGATGCCACTCTGGGCAGCTTTGTGCAGGGTTTTGCTTGGAGGTGAAGTGATAAGAATGTAAGCATGGGAAGCCTTTGCAGTTTTTAAAAGGTGGAGTTTAAAGTAGGCCAGCTACTCTTCTTTCACCTAGAGAAGAGTTGATCTCATTTTCTCTTTATTTTTAAGAGTCTTTTATTCAAAACTTCAGCGTTCTCTACAGTCCCTTGAAAAGGCATCTCATTGGAAGTGATTCTGCCCAGTTCCCTTCTCAGCATTTAATCACTGAAGTGACAACTGATACCTTCTGGGAAGTAGTCCTTCGGAAACGGGTATGGAGTCATGAGAGGGACAAGAGTCAGGCCGTGCTTCCCTCTTAGAATAATTCCCAAAGCTGCAGTTGTTGGGGTGAGCGGTTGGGTTTTGACATGTAGATCAGTCTGAGGGTGGAACATGAGTGAATTGCATGGGAGTTTTCTGATTGTAGAATGTCCTTAAGAAAGCACATAATCAGAAAGACCTAAAGATGAAAAACTTGATTATAATTTCTGCATAGGTCATAGCAATGAGTGAGTGCTTTTGGATTCTAAGCACAGTAGGGAGATGAGGTGCCCGTGTTCCATTGGAAGTAATGGCCTCTTCCTTTCCTGCAGGATGTTTTGCTTCTTTATTATGCACAGTGGTGTGGCTTCTGTCCATCCCTCAATCACGTCTTCATCCAGCTAGCTCGGCTTCTGCCAGGGGACACATTTACTGTGGCCAGGTAAGGATTCCCATTCCACAGTGTGATGTGGCCTTGCTCTCCCTTGCAGCTTAGCCCTTGGCATTTCAGAATTGCCCATTAACTGTGGGTAAGACTTGATTGGATTTAATTGTCAGGCTGAAGCCATGAGCAAAGCCTCATTGAAACTTTTTCCTAATGAATTCTGAATGTCCACAGTGCTGAGTATGTTTAGTGCTAACTGGATTCGTGGGAGGTGAGTATAGCTTTGGCTCTTTGGAGGCCCTGGGAATGAGGCTCCTATGATAGCCATGTGTTCTAGTTTTGTGATTCCATGGGTACTCTATGTAGGTTCTTATATAAGTTTTAAATAGTTCTGAAGATGTAAGCAGTTTTGGCAGAGATTGCTTAAAACTATACCTTTATAAAAACCTCTCTAGATAGATTAGAGTTAAATATAAAAGGTTGAATCACAGAAAAGATAGAAGATAGAATATTGAATTTGGTAGTTCTTTTGAGAGATGAGAACTTTCCGAAGTAGAAGCAATTGAAAAAATAAAGATGAACGTACTCCATTGAAAGTATGTGCAGTGAAATCAAATAGAGGAAAACAGACTTAGAAAAGGGAGCCATTCTCACTTGGTACTCTCAGTGACTGTGAGGAGTAATTAGAGCCCTGTCTGCAGAGAGACTTGTATGTCCACATGACTTCTTCCGTGGACCACCCAGTGAAGCCTAGTGGTTATCACTGTTTTTAATCCAGAAGTAAACTGAGGCACAAAAAGATTGGGTAACTTGCCTAGAGTCACACAGTCTGTAAGTAAAGAACTAGGATTCAGAATCTGGACTTTGTACTCCAGACTCCCTTGCATTCAGAATGGCTAGGGACAGGTGAGAGCAACGCCAGTGTGAACAGAGGACGTGGCATTTTTCATGTAAGAGACAGTAAATAAACAGCTGGGAAGTTACAACCTAATAAATGTAAGTTAAAATACTAATAGTGTCATTTACACTTACTAAATTAATGCTTTTAAGTGACAGAATTGTGAGTTGATAAAGTGAAATTGGTACAGTCAGATGGAGCTGATGAAATGAGTAAAGTTGGCATAACCCTTTTGGAAAGTATTTTGGCAACATTTGCAAGAAATCACAAAACTTCTGATCCAGTTAATTGCATTTTGTGGAGTTAAGGAGGTGGGAATTCTAGAGAAACATGGGCTGGTCCTTTCAGCATTGTGGATGGCCAGCAGTACAGGAGCGGTCAGTTAGTCATGCTGGCATTCAGTGGTGTTTTTATCTATTCATGAAAGCGATACTTTCATGTAATTAATTGAAAAGAACAGAGTATAAGATATGTAACTGCTCCTAAAACTGCATAAGCTTACAGACCACACCTGAGCTAGAGTCCCAGCAAAAAGGACCAAGTAGCCCAATGGAATGCTGGTGGATTTTTAGTGTTTCAGTTTCAGTTTGCTCTTTCATTGAACTTAACGTCAGAAGAAAAAGTCATTTGATTATAGGATATAGTGCCCAACTGCACTTGGTGGGAAGGTGGAGCTCTGCGGTTTCAGTTGCATTCTTGCAGACAGCAGAGGATAGGCCATTCTGTTAGAGCAGTGGGGAAATTGTTCTCACTCACTAAATTTCATCCTTTACAACAAACACAAGGTGCTGGTTTCCACCTCCAACCCCACATCAGTTATGCTTGTGAAAACATCCATTAGGAAGATGGCTGCAAACATTTCTGTCTTCTGTGTGCTCTGTTTGTGAATATTGGCCAAGCAGCCACTATCCCTGTGCTGGGGCAGCTCCTTCCCTGGAGGACGCTGGGGGCACACCATGCTGACCAGTGTGTATGGGAGTCTCGTTACATGCCTAGCTTGTGCCAGCTGTGGAGGACTGGGTATCTGGAGCAGCTGTGCCTTTCAGGACATTCTGTGCCCCTCAGTAGAGAGGATAGTAGTATGTCCTGAAAGTGTGGGTGCCTGGCTCACCCCTGGCAGTGTCCTCACCAAGGGGGTGAGGCCAGTGAGGGTGGATCATGGCTCTTAATGATGGAGATGAGAAGGTTCTTTCAGGTTCGAGCTTCTTGGGCTGACCTCTTATTTCTCTGTATTTTCCCTTTGCTTTCACCAGGATTGACGTATCTCAGAATGATCTTCCTTGGGAATTTATGGTTGACCGTCTTCCTACCATCTTGTTTTTTCCCTGCAACAGGTAAGACTGAATTTTTTTCAGTATTGGGCAGGTGGCATTCTTGATGAGGCGTGAAGATGGAGTGAGTTTAAGATAGAAGTCATCATTGACTAAACTGTTCAAAAAATGTGCCATTAGGGCTGGTGGAATAGTTCAAGTCTTGGTGCCTGCCTAGCAAGTGTGAGGCCCTGAGTTAAGCCCCAGTACTGCCCAAAAAAGTGCCATTAGAGACATAGGCTAGAGTGCTTGAGTGTCAGAATGGCGTGTGCGGTGCTGGTTTACTTTGAAGTTTGCTCTTCCCCGAGTCTGTCTCTTACACAAGCAGGCACGCACAGGTGTTGTTGGCTTTCATGCCTATGTGAGCATCCAGAGGATGCCATGATTGACAAGGAAGAGTTCCTGTTTGCCTCAAGCTTTCCAGGTGAATGTTTCTCTTTTAGCCCTGCTGACACCCCTCATCCCTCTTCTCCAGGAGACCCTGAAAGGGAGCCTTCTCTGCCTGTGTGCCAGTCGTTGTCTGCTGTGGGACTGTCACCATGATCTTTTCTCACTTGCTAAATGCTATTCCAAAATCAATTGCTATGGCAGCTGTGCTGAAAGCCCCAGCAAGCAGGGACAGGACATTAGAAGGGGTAGCCTTGGTAATGAGTGAGCTGCCTTGCAGCAGAAAGGAAATGAACTCTTGGCCCTTTAAAGCCAAATGAGCTGGAAGCTGGCTTTGTGTTTGCTAAAGCGTGATTCCTTTTTGTTTTAGGCTGGGTTTTCTCGGGGGTCTGCTCACATCCTCTATGGGAAATGTGTTTGCGGTGTCATTGAAGGAGGGCCCTGACCCGCATGTCCAGTTTGCTGTTCTAATTTCCTGCCTCCTTTTACGATTCATTGCACCCTGCTCTGCTTCTCCTGGCCCTCCACGAGAGAGCTTCCTTTGTGTGGTGAATCACTGCCTTGGTTTTGCCCCTCGTCCAGCATGTGCTGGAATACTGCGAGCAGTGTGGCTCACTCTAACGAGTGTTTAAATTGCTACACAATTAATCAAAGACTCATGGTCGTAACACTACCAATTTCATCTGTGTGGGACAGAGCTGGGCATGTAGTTTGATGATATGTAATTTTTGAATTTCAAAGCTACTTTGAAAAAGCATTAAAGTCATAGCACCCAACATGTGCATTTGCTGAAGGAGTTCTAAGCAGATGGAGGGAGAGTGCAGGCAGGACTTGAGGCCTGCACGGGGATCGTGAGCACAGCACTGAGCTCATCTCCAGACCCGCAGGCCATGTGCTGCGCCTCCTGTGCCCCTTGAATGGAAAGGTCAGGAGTGAAGCACTGAACAGGAAGGACTGCCCAGTTCTGTTAAATGGAGAGAGCTTGGTAAGCCAAGGCCATATTGATTTGGAATGGAATTTTTCTCATTTCCTAAAATCAAATGGTAGACAAAAGTGAAGCAAACTCATCAGTAAGTCCAAACAGAATGTTTGGCTCAGCCAGGAGGCAGGTGGACAAAGGGTATGAGCTGACAGCTAGAAAAAGAGGAAATGAAAAAAAATGTTGGCTGACTGTTTTCACAGTCACCTGTTTCTGCTATTTTTAGTGAAGTATAAAATGGTGTGTGCACTATGAGCACTGCAAGGCTGGGCATGCACCGTGTGAAAATGGGCACAGACGGGAAATGTCAAAGTGCTAATGCTTGCTTCAGAGGATGAAGCAAGTGATTTGACCATGCTGCTTGTGTGATTTACATCCCCTGCAAACTGTCTTCATTCCATAAAAATCACAAAGGGGAGACCCCATATGAAGAAGCCTGTCCTGGGCCCAGTGCAGCCTGCCCAGCTGCTCCTGTTCCTGTCTTACCTGAGGTAGGGGGAGGTTGGGACACAAGGGAGATCATCACCTTTTCTGCACAGGGGCGTTTCAGAGCTGCTGGAGTAAATAGCAGCCTGTCGATCTCTGGGTAACATTTCAAAATGCACGTGCTCTCGCCTATCCCTGGGCCTCCATGGAAGAACCTTACTTCTCCCAAGGATCACCAGCCCCTCCCTCAGGATGGCGGGCGGGGGGTGGGGGGTTCAGACAAACAGTGGGGCCTCTTACCACCATGCCTTCAAAAGGACTACTTTCTAAAAGCAATTTGTTGGTATTTTGTGTCTTAGCTACTTCAAAATGTGTGAAAGTAGCTGAGTATGGTGGTACTGCTTGTAATCCCAACCCTCAGGAGACTGAGGCAGGATTACAAATTGAATATAAGCCTTGCTACATATCAAGATCCTGTTTTACAAAAACAAAAATAAGTAAATCAATAAAAATAAAAAGTAGCCGGGCACTGGTGACTCACCCCTGTAATCCTACTTGGGAGGCAGAGATCAGAAGGATCTCAGTTCAAAGCCAGCATGGGAAAATAGTTTAAGAGACCCTATCTCAAAAATACCCAACTCAAAAAAGGGCTGGTGGAGTGGCTTAAGTGGTAGAGCACCTGCCTAGCAAGTGTGAGGCCCTGAGTTCGAACTCCAGTTTGATTGATAGATAGGTAGTTAGGTAGGTAGGTAGAAAGAAAGAATACACAAAAGGATTTTCACATGGCTGTTAGGGAGTTGTAGTATTGCAAGAACTCTTAAGATCATGTGCTTAAAAATGTCCTGTGCCTCCAGAAAGATATGGAAGTACCTCACAGCCCTTCCTGAGGCAGTGACCCTTGCAGCTGCCCTCTCCACAGGGGCTGTGCTGGGTGCTCTGTGCACAAGTTACCATGCCAAGAGAACCATGCTTTAGAGGAGGGATAGCTGTCCATTTACCCAAAGTATAGAACAGTTACAGGCAAGGCCCCAAGTCTTCTTTTTCTTTCTGAAAGTTCCCATAAACATGTAAATTGGGACATGCCTGATTTTAATTTCCTTGTGATTTTTAGTTGGTAGGGAAAGGGGCTACCCATTAATGGAACACCTTTTGTTGTTGTTAGGTATTTGGCTTCTGGCTTTATGTGTAGAGAGTGCACGTTTTCATTCATTCATTTGTTCATTCATTTATTTGGCAGTATTTGGGTTTGAACTCATGGCTTTACACTTGCTAGGCAGGTGCTCTATCACTTTAGCCACACCTCCAGCCCTTAAGGAATTAGTGGATTCTTAAGGAATTAGGCTTTTTTTTTTGGACAGGGTCTTCTATGTAGCCCAGGCTGGGCTTGAACTCACAGTCTTCCTACCTCAGCCTCTGCATTGTTGTTAGGATTGCATGTATCACCATGCCCTGCTAACAATGCAATTTTTAAAAAAGCTAACAAAGATTGAGCATTCACTTACATCACTTAATCCTCCCAGCAGTCCTGCCCATGAGGCAGGTGATGCATCGTCCCCCATTTACAGAGCTCAGGTCACTTGCGTGAGCAAATAGCAGTGAGCGAGTGGCCTTGAGTCCTTGCTGCTGTGACTCCGTTCCTTTAACATCCAACCCCAGGCATAAATGCACAGGGTGGGCATTTTGATGTAGGTGGCCAGATTGTGTGTGCCAGGTAAGTAAGAGTGAGAGAGAAGCCTCAGCTGTTAGACAATTAAATAACAACTTCTGAAAGGGAATTTCTAAAACCAGAATTGGAGCAAAGCTTGGGGAACCGCCTTCCTGACTGTGCTCCCAGAGCCAGGCAGCCCTCATTCATTCTAGTCCTTCTGGTAGCCAGTAGCACCTCCTTGGGGATGAGCCCAGTGTCCCCCCGGGTGGGGTAGATCACCCCCACCCCCGATCCCTGTTAAGAATTCCTGTAGATTGTTTGCAGTAAATGCCTGCTGAAGAAACTGGCCGAGTGGTTCAGGTTGTTCTCATTTCACCAGCATTGTCAATGGCCACAAAGTCACGGTGACAAATTCTGTTCCAGGACGCCCATGCTGCATGGCCACTGGGTCTCACAAATCATGCAGAGGCCCCCGGAGCACCTTGGGTGCCCCTGGCTTTAGGCTTGGGGCTAGGAGCACTTGTCTTTCTGAAAGGTTGCTCCTGAGCCCTGTTCTTGGGAACAGACACATTTAATATAAGCTGCCTCAGTCACAGCAGGAGCATATGGGACAGCCTCAGCTCTGCAGAGAAGGAAAATGCTCAGAATGCTTTCTGTTGGTAAGAGTAGCGGCCTGACCTCCAGGAACACCTGGTTTTGGACTGTGCCTTTTGGCATGACTCTCACCTTTGACTCCTCTCCCTTTCTCTCCAGAAAGGACCTAAGCGTGAAGTACCCTGGAGACCTCTCCATCACCCTCCCGAACCTGCTCAGGTTCATCTTGCATCATTCAGACCCTGCCTCTGCCCCCCCGAGCTTGGGTCCCCCTTCTACCGAAGAATGTCTTCAGAGCAAGGCAGTCTTAAAGCAAGGGCACATTGCCCACCTGGAGAAAGAGATGCAGAGGCTGAGAGAGGAGAGAGGCAGCCTGCACCGGGCGCGGGCGCAGGTGGACGGTTGGCTCCTGCGCACCCGCAGGGACAGGCGCCGTCTGCTGCGGCAGCAGCGGACCCTGGAACGGCAGCATAGCCTGCTCTGGCAGCACAGCAAGCAGCTGCAGGCCCAGTATGCAAAGAAGGTCCGAGAGCTCCAGGAACTGGACGGCACCTCAGATGCCCTCTCCGAGAACAACGCATGGCTCAGGGTCCTCATGGCCACCATGGAGAGGAAACCAGAGGGCCAGGACAGGGCCAAGGACCCAGTCCCCCCAAGACAGGCACAACCTGACCACCCTGAGCCCACAGGTGCCCCCTGGTTACCTGGAGGCATCCCTCCATCTTCCAACGCCAGCTCCATGCTGGCATCCGAGAGGAAGAATGAGAACAGGACAGACTGATTTTTGCAATGACATGAAGGAATCAGAGGTGAAATCTGTACATTGGGAATATATTTATGCAAATTTTATTGAAATTTATTGTAAATAAAGAATTTTCTCAGTGGTCTAGAGAATCACCTTGAATGTCATTCAGCTTTTATTGAACAGGGACGACATCCCTCCCACTTATTGCACAAACTTGGTAGCTTTGAGTCAGAAACAGTAGCAGTCCATTTGAAGATGTGTCTGAATAATCATTTCTGAGTGGCTCAGTGTCAGCTCCCTCCCTGCTCCCTCCTGTTGCTTCTGCACATGAAGATGGAAGCGTCGTTTCTTGACTAGTCACAAAACCTGAATGCAACAGTTGGGCTACTGAGAGAATTCAAAGGGAGGTCATAACTTACTAAGCCACTGGAGCGCATGGCTCTGATGTCTATGCTTAAAAAAAAGTAGCCATTGATGCATAGGAACAGGGAGAACTCGTGTGGCCATTTGCTACTTCTACAGGCATCTTCAATTTCCTCCCAAAGGACCCCCCCCAACTGGCACCCCATTGTGCCCGACCCCCACCCCACCCCATCCCCCTCTGATGGCCTGACCCAGGCTCCCACGATGTCCCTAGCAACTGGCAACATCTAATCAGTTCTAAAGGAAACTTCACGGCATGGTAAAGACCAGCAGATGGACAGTCCGTTCCAGAGCCAGGCTCGGGCTGCAGATGCAGGTGCCAGCAGCTCCTGGGTTCCTGTGCTTGGAGCTGAAGGACACACAGCTGCTGGCTGTGGGGGAGTGGAGGTAGAAAGCCCAGAAGTCCAGAGCAGACCTTCCCCCACCTTCCCTGGGCACCACTGTTCTTCCTCCTAGGTCGGATTGCAGCTCCCACCCCATCCCGGGGTGCCATGCCCACCCAGCTGCTGCTCGCTGTGCTGTCCCTCACCACTTCTTCCTTGGCTGGGCCATCCTGTTAGGGACCATAGCATTTCCTTTCCTGCTCCCAAGCGCTCTGGTGGCCCACTTGTGGCACACAGGGCCCCATTAGCTATCTTCCCCATCCCAAGCGGTTACTGAATGTGACCTGGTTTAGGTGCATGGTGCTAAAAAGTGTTCCTACAGCTCCCGGCTTGAGGTTCCAGAACATGGATTAGTTCAACACGCTTTCGAGTGGGGATGCCTTCAGCCTGGCTTAGAAGGTAGGAGCTCTGCACGCCCTGCGCCCCGAGGTGAAGCGGGGCTGACCTCACTCGCGTTCACTACCCATCATGAAGGTTTAGAATGGGAGCTCGCGAACACGGACACCCTGAGATGCGTGCCACCTGCTGAGTGCCTGGCTCCTCACCTGTGCACATGCACGGTAGCCGTGGCCTCCCAAAGGCGGCCAGTGCCTTCAGAGCCCAGTCAGGGGACTAAGTCTACAGAGACTTGAAGCAGAGCAAGTGAAATCCAGTACCCAGCAGGGGGTGGGTGGTCATCAAGAGGGAACAAGTGCGTCTCCGTCTCCTCCTCCTCCTCTCCAGTGCAGAAAATTTTGACACAAAACAAAACAAAACCCTTTTCTCACTCCCCCGGGCCAGTGAGGTTTCAGAGAAAAGGCAGCCACCACGGCCCCTGGCGTTCCTGTGAGGTCCAGAGCAACTTGAGCGAGGCCCGCGCCTGCCCGGGCTGCTTAGCGTGTTCAAGACCAAAGGGGAGGAAGCTGCTCTGCTACCAAGATGCCCGGCAGCCTCAGGACCCGTGCCCTCACTCGTCCTTCACCAGCTCCCAAGCTAATACAGCAGCTTCCTGGCAGTATCTCCGCCGTTGCCAAGCTCGGCTTTTTAACTCGCGTCTACCTGGAGAAAGGGGAGGGTGCGGTCCTCCTACCCGCTGCTAACCAAGCAGAAATCACCAGAGCACCCCAGCTGGTCAGCCGCGACACACGAACTGACATTTCACTTCCTTTCCACACACACACACACACTAGCGGCCCTGCCCAGGGCGACCCGGGCCTGACGAGCCTAAGACCCTCGTGAGTACAGCCATAACCACAGCAGTCCCGCGGGCTCTACGCGGTGTTTTAAAAATGAGCAAAGAGGCTTAAGCACGTGCTTCTGTGGCCTATGTACAGTTCACAGGTTGCGCAGTTCACGCGTTACAGTAGTGGCTCCGTCAAAGACAGGCTCAGCTAAGCATTCAAGTAACAAAAGCGCCAGGAGGCCACGAGCCCCTCAAGGTCAGGCCTGCCCACTGCCTGCAATGGGCAGCTGGGACCGGAGTCCGTGCATGCGATGAAGCCCGCCGAGGCCATGCCAGCAATGTCAGCCCCTCGTCCCAGACAGCAGCGCGTCTGTGGTTCTGCTCTCCCAGCGCCTCTCGCCGGCTGCCCACAGGGCCTGGAGCCTCGCAGTCCACGTCAGCCATGCACGTCTGGGCCGTTCGCGGTCATCAGCTTGGCCTTCCTCTCCACGCACGGCCCCTTGGCTGAGTACTGCACCAGCAGGAAGGGCTCCTTGGTGTCGCCATCTCCCACAATGCTCTCTTCGTCCTCCAACTGGCTGATGCGCTGCAGACGCAGGTAGCACCAGCAGCCCAGGATCAAGGCTCCCAGGGCGGCGATGGCAATGAGGATGACAATGACTGTGACCACGCCCGTGGTGGGGCTGTGGTCCATAATAGACATGGTGAGCGCCTGCAGGGGCTTCCTTGGTGGGAAGCTCTCGGAGTAGCTAGCTCAACAGGGCTGGAACTCAGGCTGCACACAGGAGTCCTGAAAGACAAAGAAGGTGAGGCTACACCAGAGGCCACCGGGGACCTGGGCTGCTCCCAGCCCCAGCTGCACTTCCACTGGGTCCCGGCGTGCGTTTCTGTTTTTTTCAGTACTGGCATTCAACTCTGGGTTTCAGGTGCCCTACCACTCGAGCCACACTGCTCAGCACTTCCCTTTGAATTTTCTTTTCGAGACGAGGTCACTCATTTCCCCGGTCGGCCTCTGCCTCGCGAGTAGCTGGGTCACTGGGGTTCCGGGCACGCACCGCACCCTCATCTCATGAAAACGTGCTGTTGGCATTGGCTGCTCTCCAGCCTGCTTCTCCGAGTTCCTCTCATGAACCTGCCACGCAGCCGGACAGCAAGTTCCCTTCACTCGGCCCCAAGCCGGAGGCATGGGAGGGGGAGGCGGGACACCACGACAGCTGAGGCAGAGGCTGCAAGAGGGCCGCAGGCTACTGTGTGGCTCTTCTGTTGGAAGTGCACATTCTGGAAGCCAGCACCGCTAGCACTAGGTCTTCAGCAGCCACCAGGGGACTACAAGGAGCCAGTGGCTTCCTGAAGGCTAGAGAGGAGGGATTTGACAGCGGGGAAATGCCACCAGCCCCTGTGAGGGCCAGGTGACAGAGCACTCAGCTCCTTCCAGGACTCCCAGGAGGGCGCAGCAGACATGTGCCCTCAGCTGGCCATAGAAGACCCTCGTACACAGGGGAACACTGTAGACTAGGGCCAGGCAAACGGGCAGAGGGTCCCAGAAAACGCAGACACACTTTGGGGAAGTGCGGGGGTGTGGGACAGCTGACTTTTTGGTGCCCAGGAGCCACAATGCCAACAGGTCAGTACTGCAAAGTGCCTGTGGGAGTACCAAGGGCCAGATGCAAGTGAGATGCAGGGAAGCCCTGCTGAAGAGGAGCACTCCTGAGGGTCACCGTGATTGCAGGGGTGTGAAGGCAGGAAGGGGCACACCGCACAGGCAAGTTGCTGGAGCATCAGCCTATGGAGGTAGGGTGCGGCTCGGGTGCTGAGGGAGTGATGCCAGGGCTTGGAGGACCAGGACCTCAGCCATGGGACCATGGCACCTTCAGACAACTCTCCACCTCAACGGGCTCCCACATCCTCTCTGAGGACAGGTCTGCCAACGGGCAAAGAAGATGGAGGCTGCGTGACACACGTGAGGACCCAGATTCCAGTCTCCTGCTCCCCCTCTGGGCCCAGCTGCACGTGGTACCCCAAGGCCAGCCAGCGACAGCCCCCAGAGGTCAGAGCTGCCGCGGGCCCTGCGCCCCCAAGCTCCTGCTCTGTCTATGGAGCCGATCAAAGTACCTGTACCCTGTGGTCATGGGACAGGGACAGGCCTGAGGTGTGGTCCACACAGGCCAGGCACACAGTCTGCACTCAGTGAGAACTGGGCGTCTGAATTCCCGGCTTCACTTTCCTCAGAGCCACAACGCAGGTAGAAAGTGTGTAAGTTTTTCCCTCAAACAGGGTCCAGCTGTTGGTTCTTGAGCAGTAATGGCCTTACTCAGAAATGGCTCTTTCCTGGCTGGAGGGCTCCCAGGTGCCAGGCCTGGTAGGTCCTGGGCAGCTAAGTCAACTCCCCAGAGTGTCTGGGGACCAGGCCTGGGGTCAGGAGGTGGCCTGGGGTCAGGAGGTAGCCCGGCCACCTGAACTCATTCTGCCGAGGCCTTGGGCAGAACAGTCCATGTCCCTGGAGTCCACAGCCTTTCTGTGACTTCTGCCCATTCGGGCGCAGGACCCCTTGCCGCTGGAGGACACGGGACGCGCCCAAGCGCTCAGAGAGCCATAGGCCCCAGCAGTGCTGACCTCCTCCCGCCCTCTCTTGGCCCGGGTGCTCTTTCCCTTACCCCGTTCAGTGGCTCTCAACTGCGGCCACCAGCCCCCACCCTGGGGGTACCTGACCGCACATGGGACTATTTTTGGTGGTCACAAATGGGGTGACTTGTATTTATGGGACCTTTACTGGTATCTCATGCGTAGAGGCCAAGGCTGCTGCTAAACAGCACACAAGGCACAGGACAGTCCTCACCACCACACACCACCATACATAGATGACCTGTCCCAAATGCCAACAGCGTGGAAGTGGAGAAAACCGTGATGACCTGGTTCAGGCCCACTCCAGCAAGGACACCCTCCTGACCCGGAAGCCAGGAAGGCACCTGCCCCCGGGCACTACCCAGGACTATAGGCCTGGCTTCTGGGGCACAGCTGGTAAGCACCTCCTTCCCCACAGGGTCACGTGCCAGAACTGTCCTGCTCCCGACCTCTGCCTGCCCTGTGCTCTCTGGTCTGCCTCCACCTCTCCCTGGGCCTCTGGGTTAAGTGCTCCTGTCTGATGGCCTCTGGACAGGAAGGTCAGGCTTATCAATTTGGAAGGGGAAGTGTGTGTTGGTGGGGGCAGGACGGGCAGGAAGTGAGAAATCAAACAATGGTACCATGACCTGAGCGGGAGGCCCAGGAGGTACCCAGAACTAATGAGGAAACCACGGCACAGCTGGCCAGTGCCAGCGCAAAGAAAGCCTGCGAGGAGTGGGAACCCGGTGAGGAGTGGTGAGCAAGCCCGTCTGCTGTCCTGTCCCGGGCTCGCTGGTAGGCAGAGCTGGGTATATGGGCCTCTTAGCCCTAGCAGAGCCCAGCCACCTGCCCCTGGCCCGTGGCCCTCCCCTGAAGATGCTGCCTGTTCCTTTTTCACTCAGCAAGTGTTTCCTGGAAACAATCAGATCATGTCATTCACTCTCAAACCATCCAGGCCTCAGAAGGGAGTCCAGACTCCTGCCAGCCCAGGCTCCTTGACGCCCTCCCTGCAGACCCACCCCACCAGGCCCCCGCCCCTTCTGTTCCCTTGGCCTGACCATGACTATCCTGAGGCTGGCTCCTTCCTGTAACCGGGGACTTTCTCACAAGATGTCCTCCCAGAGCACCTGGCCCCTCGCCACCGCCTGTCGGTCTCTTTCCTGAGCTCCCTGCTCCCTTCAGCTCCCAGGGTCAGGGCGCCTGTCTCCCTGGCTGCTGTCCCACTCCCCCCGACTCTGAGTCTGTCAGAGGAGGGCCCATGGCCACACCCTCTGCCCTAACACCACACACAACAGGTGCTCTGTGAAGGCTGGCTGAGTGTTCCAAGCCTGGGGCGGTGGCGGGTGTTAGAGGAGAACCCTCTCTCATGGGGACAGTCAGGGGTCCCCAGTCCTGAGCTAGCTTTCCACCTGCAGGCCACACCTGAGTCTCTGAGTACAGGTGCCCATGCCCACCCCCAGCAGCCTGTGGGAAACCCTGGCAGCAGGCCTGGGCCCATGGCAGGACAGGGACAGGAGGAGGAAACTCAAAGTGCTGAGGGCAGCTGGCTCCTGGGAGCCCCCTTTGCCTGGCTGGATCCTGACCCTTGTTGCACCTATCTTGGGTCTCCCTCAGGCTCCTGTCTCCTCCAAGCCCGCTGACCCCTCACCCTGACCTGGCAAAGGGGTCATGGTTCAGGCTGGGGAGATGGCCAGGATGAAACTGGAACCAGTTCACATCACAGTGGTCTCCGCTTTTTCCCTGATCCACTCATCATTACACCCCTGATTTGCAGATGAGGAAACTGAGGCACAGAGCGTGTAAGTGGACTGTGCTAGAGGATAGATGTGAATCTAGAATCCTGGCCTGGAAAGGCAAACGGAGGGTCTTTCAAGTGCAGAGGGGCCATGCCAGGGCCGGGGCCCAGCCAGCAACTGGAGGTCTCTGGCACTCACAAGTATCTCACCAGCTCCCTCGGTCAGGACAAAGCCTGGCATCCAAGGCCAAGGCCACCTGGTCCCCTCCAAACAGGGATAGCACCCTCCTGCTGTGTGTACCCTCATCCACCCACCATGCTGGAGAAGTCCAGGCTCTGCAGAGCCCTGTGTCCCCAAGCCTCCTCAAGGGAGGTTAGCTGGGGCACAGGACACACCGTGTCCCCGGCCAACCCTGCTATGTGCCTGGAATAACAGCGATAACAAATTCCAGGTGAGCACTGACCAGCACAGGCCCGGGTCACTCCGCTGTCACCCCAGGCTGCAGTGAGACTAGAACTGTCAGGCCCGGCTTCCCAAGCCCCTGAGTAGCGAGTAACTGGGTCCCAGGACACCCCTGGGTTCAGAAGGGCAGTCCCAGCCCCAGCCACCAGCTAGCTCAGGGCATGACCCTTGAAGGCCCATGGCTGCTCTAGGTCACCATCCAGGGGAGGGGGTCCTTGGTTACCCCTGCCTCTTCGTGGGATCCTGATACTAACCCCTCACCCCAGTGGACGTGCTCAAGGACCAGAGGACCAGCAGGGCTGACTGAGTCCCGGGCCGCCGCCTCTGGCCTCAGTTTCTCAATGCGCAAAGTGGGCCTAAGTTCCTTGTCTCAACCCTAGGATCAGGAGGCCTGCTCCAGGCCAGTGCCACAAACAGCCCCTTCCCCTGGGACACGCTGTCTGCTCCCCCTCCTCCTCCTCGCTTAACTGGGCACATCACGAGTGCTGCCGAGCTCAGCTGGGCACCAGCTCGTCACCCTGCCTGCAACCTCCACCCCCTGGCACTTCTCTCGGAAGCTGGGGGATTGCCCTGCTTACAGGGGCCAGCCATCCTCCAGGGACTCCCAGCACTGCCCCCACCCCCAACAAAGCCACCTGCAAAAGGTGCCGACCATCCAGGCCCCCCACCCTCTTCAGGGGACCCCAGTTCAGTCAGAAACTCCCAACCCTGACTTGGGAAACAGGCCTGGAGTGAGACCAGGGCCCTGCTGGACACATCCAGGACACCGGTGGAGTGTCTACTCTGTGCCAGGCCCTGGGAGACACAAGCCGAGTCACCTAAGCCCCCGCCCTCCAAGAGCCCGAACCAAAAAGAGCAGATGGGTAGCTAACATTTATAGGGTGGGGGTGAGTGCCATTTTCACCCCCACCCTCTCCTCCACATGAGAAACACACCCCAGAGCTCCCCAAGTTCCCAGGCAGAAAAGGAAGCCCAGCTGGCAGAGCTAGCAGACTACCCCAAGATCAGTGGGGACCTCCTGCAGCCCAGGCCTGGGGCTCCTGCTGATCATCCTCAGGTCAGCCTATTTGCCGAACAACTTTGGCAGTAACAGATGTTACAAAAGTTGCTGGTGGTTACTATGTGCCAAACACCGAGCTAAACACCCCATACAGATGCACTGAAATTTCTGCCTCACAACTCCAGAGTTACTACTCTCCGATTGGCAGATAAAGAATCTGTGGCTCAGAGAGGTTAAGTCAATTGCCCAAGGTCACACAGCTCAAAAGTAGCTGCGCAGAGATTCAAACCCAGGCAGCAGGGATACTAAATTCTGGATCTCAAACCTGACTCTAAAGTGTCATATTCCTGATCCCAGCCTCTTTCTTCCCAGTGTCTAAGGGCCTAAGGACAGGTGAGCCGCAGTCTGGCCCCTGTGGGGGCTGTCTGGGTGACCTGTGCAGAGGACTGGATGCTGGAGACTCGAGAATGACAGGCACCTCAGCAGCTCCCGCGTGCCGAGCGCGGGCGGCGTGCAGGCGCGGTGCCAGGCGCGCTCCACGCACCCTCTCATTTAACCCTGCTAGGCGACGCTGCGTCTCCCCCACTCTACGGAGAAGCAAGGCGAGGCGCGAGGGAAGCAGGGGCCGGGCCAGGCGGCGACAGCTGGAGAAGGAACGACAGCTGGAGAGGCAACTCAAGTCGGCCTGACCGGGGGTGGGGGCGAGACGCGGGGCCACGGGACCCAGTCATGCCCACGCCGTGCAGTCACTTCCGACGGAACCGGGCACCAAGCGCTGCAGCTCCACCTCAGTTTCCCCACCCAGGAAATGGGCACCAGACGTTACCTGGCTCCTCATCCCCCAGAGCCCTCCTGACCACGCTGGGGGCTGCCGGGACCCCCCCACCCCACCGTCTCTCCCGGGATTTTTGAGAAACCCCAGAGTGCCCGCGCTGGGCGAGGAACTGCGGGCCGCGGCAGGGGACTCGCGCTGGCGCGGGAGAGGACTCCCGCCCCCCGCCGCCTCCTTTGTCCCGATCTCACAGCAGCGCAGCGGACAAAGAGCCCCCGCCCGCGGGCGCGGCCCCCCGGAACAGACCCTCCCCCGAAGCCGCGCCCCCGCCCGGGCCGCCCCTCCCCCGCCGCAGAGACCCTGGCCCAGGGCGCAGCGCCCCCCGCGCGCCCTCACCCCGTCCGGGGCCGCGCCTTCCCCTTCAGCAAACCCGCGCCCGCCCCACCGCCCAGCCCGCCCGGCCCGGCTCGGCTCGGCTCGGCTCACCATGGCGCGGCCCGCAGCCCGGCCCGATAGTCCCGCAGCAGCACTGCCGGCTCGGCTCCGCCCGCCCGCCCGCCAGCCCGGTCCCGCCGCCGCGCACCGTCGGGACGCAGAAGCCCAGTTCTGCGGCGGGCGGGGCGCCTCAGGCTCCGCCCAGGCCGGGGGCGGGGCCCGATGGAGAGACCAATAGGAGACCGCGCTGGGACGGCGGGGCGGGGCGAGACGGGGAGGAGTCACGTGCGCTCGGGGCCCAGGCGGCGCGGCGGGGCGGGGGCTGAGCGCAGCTGGCAGCACAAGAGACAGGGGGCGGGTGGGACCTCGGTGCGCGAGGATTGGCCCGCGACTGAGCCCTCCCTCCGCGGGTCTTTTCCCCAATCCCGGCCCGCAGCCCTGTTCCCGCCCTACAAGAGGGGAAACTGAGGTACATAGCAGGCAGGAGTGTTGCACACCGCCTGGGAGCTGGGGCGGGGCGCTCCAGGGCAGGGGCCGGGGGAAGGCACCTCTGAGTTGCTTGACCTTGCTTGGGAGGGGAGCTGGCCTTTCATTCAGTCGCTAATTCATTCGCTTATCGGCCATCCATCCATTCATCACCGACCCTGTGTTTTCTGCGCCAGTCGATCCCGAAAAGCCAGATGCCAGCCAAACCAGGTTGCTGTCCTCGGAACCCTCATTCGGCCGTGGGCTGGGGCTGGGTTAGTTTTAACATAATAACCCTGTGGTCAGGCCCCCACCCAGTATCATGTCCTTTACTGTCCGCTCAACACATATTTGATCAAAGTAACTCCAAAAGCAAGCATTACCCCGCCTTACAGATGACAAACTCGAGGCTCCAAAAGCCAGAAGTACCACCTCCTACTCCGGTGGCGCAGGATTTGAGGCCAGAAGTATCTGCCTGGAAGCACAGACGCGCCTCGTGGTGCAGGAACTCGCTCTTTTTCACCAAGAAGGCAGCCCAGCAAGAGGACGCCAGCTGGGGCAGCAAGACAGGTAAGAGGGTGGGTCCTTCAAGCCTCCTGCGGTTCAGGCCCTGGGAAGACAGGAGGGGCAGGTGGAGGTCCTGGGAGCGGGGGCCTGTGGGGCCTCAAGCAGAACCCTCTGGAAGGCCCAGCTCACAAAACCGAGGAGAAACAGGAACTCTCACCCTCCCATCAGTCGGCTCTGCTGGGCTTTCTGGGTTTTGCCCCATGGGATTTCCTCCAGCTGGACCGTTCTTCCACTTCATCCTTCACATCTTGCTTTCAGGCTTCTTGCTCTGGAGGATCTCCCTGATCCCCCACCCAATGGTGGTCCGCTTCCTTATTCTCTCCTGACTATTATGGAATTATCTTTTTTTTTTTTTTTTTTTTGCAGTGCTAGGGTTGAACTCACCTTGAGCTGCCACTCTGCCAGCTCTTTTTTGTGTTGGGTATTTTTGACATAGGGTTTTGTGAACTATTTGTCTGGGCTGGCTTTGAACTGTGATCCTCCTGATCGCTGCCTCCTGAATAGCTGGGGTTACAGGTGTGAATTGGCTGGAATTACACATTTTTGAGGGCATATGTTTAACTTTTGGTCTTGTCCCCCAGGACCAGTTCTGTGCCGTTCACTGCTGGGTGTCTGCATGACAATACCTGGCATACAGTAGGTGCTGAATAAAGGTAACTTGAATGAAGAATCAGACTGCACTGCTCCACTCTGGCGCTGCCGCACCCTAGCCAGGAAAGAGGCCAGGCCCAGGAGCTAAGCAGGAATGGGGCACAGAGAAACAGAAGGAAGCCAGGCCTCGGGCCAGCTGCCCAAGAGGTGTGGCCCAGCATCTCTGAACAACTCCTGCTTGGAATCCGCCCATCACCTACCGTCAGAGCTCCTGTCCCATGGGCAACACTTGGGATGACACAGCGCAAGGAGCCAGTTCCAGGGGCCTATGGTTCCCTGAAGCTGGCCAAGAGCTCATTAGTGGTGAGAACCTGGAAGAAGCAGGGAGCCCAGAACCCCAGATCCAGGCCTGGCGACATGGGGCAGGGGAGGCAGGAACACTTTGGAGGAAAGGTTTAGGGGATGAGAGGCAGGCAGCCTGGCCTAGACGTGAGAGCCAGGCCATCCTGCTTTAATCCAGCCTTTCCTTCTGGGTGGCCTTGCTTAGCCTTTCTGGTCCTTACTGCTCCTCGTCTGAACAGTGGGGGTGACGGTGAGGTTAAGCTCAGAACACGAGCGATCCCACGCCCCCGTTCACATTCATAAGAGGGCTGGATGGGTTTGGGGGTGACTCAGACTTCCCGTGTGGATCTCAGGCAAGTTACTGCACCTCTCGGAGGAGCCTTGACTTCCTCCTCCTCTTCACGGTGTGTTTCATGTCCCCTGCTTCTGCAGATGTGGAGAGGTGTGCGGGGTTGCCTGGGGGAGGCTGGCAGCAGCCACTATCTTGCCCAGAATATTCAAATAATGGTGTCAATAATACCGAATGACAATAAAAATAGTTGTGAACACTATATGGCATTTATCATGTCCTGAAAGCGTTCTAAGCTCTAAACTCATTTTAACCCTCATTCTACAGGGGAGGAAACTGAGGCACCTGGTGGCATGTGCCCCGCGTCACCTGGGGAGCGTGTTACAATGCAGCTTCTGCACCAGTAGGTCTGGGACCCAGGTCCTACTGTCCTCACAAGTCCCAGACGGAGCTGATGGTCTGGGGACCACACTTTTTGCAGTGAGGGGTAAGTCACCTGCTCTAGGGACAAAGGCAGCAGGTGCCCTCCCTGCAGTCAAGCCCACATGGTGGACCATACGTAGTGCACCCATAACCTGGACGCCACTGCTTGCCTCAGTTCCAGCTCTTTCTCCCCCACAAAGAGGCAGGAAGTACAGCTCCCCTCCCCCAGCCCATTTCCTCTCTCTGGGCCCCTGCCACCTCCTTCCATGCTGACATCTGGCCCAGCATCCCCAGGGTCCTCCTCCCTGTGTCATGGGCTGGAGGCTCTCAGATGTTCATTCGCCAACAAGATAATTAAAGGTGAGGGGTGAGCTCACTAGCAGCCTGGAGCCTGCTGGGGCCCAGCTGGGCCTGCCCTGTGCCAGCCTCGCCCCATGTCCACGTCCCCAGGGTGCTAGAGGGGCTGGGACAAGAAGGGGCTTGCCGGGGCTGGGGGTGGAGAGGTCCAGGCAGGCTTGGAGTGCTGCCCTGCAGCTGGACCTCCCTGCCTAGCCCATGGCCACCAGGCTGGGCGGGTGTCTGCTCCGGGGGTGTCCCCACAGGGTTCCAGGCCTAAAAACAACATGAAAATTGCCTGGGCACCGGGGAGTTTCTGGAGAGAGAGATGAGGACCACTGGTGAATTCTGCTGAGACACAGAGGGTCTGTCATTTGCCGGTGACAGGCAGCAGTTCTCTCTAGGGGAGGCCACGCTTGCTGCTAATGGACTTCGGCATCTTTCAAAGGCTGGCCCAGCCTCCTCACCTTAGAGAAGGCTGGCCTGGGTTCCAGGATCGTGGGCAGTTAACGCACATGCACTCATGAGCCAGAATGTGGTGTTTTCTGTGTTTTGGAGTCTCAGTTCCTTTTCGTTTGGCTTTGAACTTGCCTTGTGCTTGGTAGGCAGGTCCTCTGCTGCTTGACTCACACCCCCTGCCTTTTTCACTTTAGTTGTTTTTTGAATGGGGCCTCAAGTTTTTACCCAGAGCCAGCCTTGGACCGAGATCCTCCTACCTGTGCCTGCAGAGTAGCTAGGATTGCAGATACGAACCACCACGCCCTGCTTGTTTTTTGAGTCTTGTTAAATTTTTTGCCAGGGGCTGGCCTCCAGTCTGGATCCTCCCAATCTCTGCCTGTCAAGTAGCTTGAATTACAGGCATGTACCCCATGCCTGGCCTCAGATTGCTTATTTTTATGGGCCAGATAGTACTTTTCTATGTATGACGGTGACATACTCACCAGTCATCAGCTTTGGGCCCCTACTCCACACGCCCCATCCGAAGACCCTGTTTCCAACCAGGTCACGTTTTCAGGTACTAGGAGTTTTCAGTTTTTGCCAATTGAGTATAAAGGTCTTGCTAACTGAAAGATAGATTTGCATTTCCTTAATCACCAGTGGGCTTCTTTTCCAGCCCCGAGGTGTAAGATAGATTCACCTGGGCTGGCAGAGTGGCTCGAGTGGTAGAGCGACAGCCTAGCAAGTGTGAGGCCCTGAGTTCAAATTTCAGTACTGGAAGGAAGGAAAAGGAGGGAAGTGGGGGTGGGGGAAGGTAGATTGTCCAGGGTGAAGTCTGCTCGTTGAGCTGAGTGAGTGCAAGCAGGATTGACCCCCAATCTTACTCTACTCCAAGGCTGAGGAGAGGTTGGGGAGGGGGCCTGGCCTCCCCTCCACTGAGAGATTACTTTCAGGGTTCCCAGGGGTCATGCATTATTGACAGCCACCATTCCCAGCCTGGGGTCACTTTGTGGTCACACAGGCATTATTCCCAAAGCCCATTCAGGACTTTTATCCACAGCTGAGCCTGAGCACAGAGAGCCCTCCTCTCTGGAGCCAGGCCTGGGGGCGTCACAACCAAGAGGGGACAGAGAATGCAGCTGGAGCTGTAGGCTTGGGGACCACCACAGGCAAGGGACCTCAGCTGTGTCCAAGCCCACCTCTGCCACTTCCCAGCTGTGCAGCCTTGGGACGCTTAGTTACCTTCTCTGAGCCTCAGTGTAGGATGGAAGAGCTGCCTCACCTTGCTAAGAGATTCAGCAATCATGTCCTCCAACGTCTCCCAGGGTGACTCCTGTGGGCTGCTGGCCCTTCCCTTCCCTTCCCTTCTCTTCCCTTCCCTTCCTTCCCTTCCCTTCCCTTCCCTGTGGAACCCAGAGCCTTGCACATGCTGGGCAAATGCTCTCCCACTGAGCTAAGCCCCCGACTGTGGATATATTTTAAAGTCACCATGTGGGGTGACCCTAGGTCAGTCCTCCCTGTGCCTCAGCTTCCTCACCTGTGAGAAGGGGACAGCGAGTCATGGCACCTACGCAGGGCCCATTGGGTTAGTTACACCCCAGTGAGCACTGGTGTTGTGATCACTGTGGTCAGGTGAAGGGACTTACCCAGGAACAGTGTTCTCCTAGCCCAGG